ATTGGTCGTTCTTTTGTGGATGGTATAAATGACATTGTCCTCCTCACTTTAACTTGTGGTTTTATGTTCAATGTTTCTGCCTGTAAATATATAAAATTGACCTTAGTATTTAAATTTATTTACTGTTATCACACACTCTAAACAGTCAATATTTAATATTCTTAAATCATAATCATATTTTTGTATCATAATTATTTTTGTAATAAATAAAAATGTAATAATTATTTCATATATATCAATATAAATTTATTTATTACGGGCTCTACAATTGTAATTGATGCTACTGCTTTTTCGGAAACACTAATTTTTTTTTGAGCTCTTGTCAGTTCGTCATCAAGTCGCTGTTTTTCAGCTTCTAGTTCAATTAACCTCTGTTGGGCTTCTATAACAATCATTCAATTTTTTTTTCAAATTAAAATATTTGACGAATTTAATTATAATATCAAAATGTATTTACATAAACAATGTTTATATTCTATACATCTTACCAAGCAATTGGTTTTCTTTCTCTCGTTGTTTAATCTCAAATTCTTTTCGTTTTTCTCGTTCTTGTTCTAACAGCATTATATGTTCTTCCTGTAACCTTTCTAACTCTTCTCTTTTTTCCCATTCTTCTCTTARTACTCTAAAAAATGACAATTAATATCAAGGATTCAGGGTAATGTATAAATAAATCAATATTATTTTATAATTATGAGTTGCACACTTRGACAAGCAAGTCTATTTTAAAATCAATTTTAGAGAAGCAGAATGTTCTAGTTTTAATAATTTTAAACATGATAAACTGGATTGATTAACAAACTACAACAATAAAGTAGTTATAATAGCAATGTTCTATTATACTACATATTTTGATACAACATGAACTCTCTTATAATTTCAAACATAATATATAACAATTATTATTACCTAGCTTGTAAGTTACGCACTATTTCTTCATCACGTTTTGCCTGTGTTTCTTCTTCAAGTAGACATTCCAATTCTTCAACGTGTTTTTCACTAGCCACTTTAAGCTCTTTTGCATGAATTTCTATAGCCGCCCTGGCCTAAACATTTCAATATTAAGATCTGATTATATAAAAACTCAAAACTATCCGTACTTGTTTCTCAGCTTGTAACTGAACATCCATGTCATGTATTATGCTGCTTCTTCTATGTTTCTCTTGAAGTTCAGCTTTTCTTCGTTTTTGCCTACGGCGCAACAATGTTCGTTGATAACCTTCTGTCCCCGCTGAATAAGATATTGCTAATTTTAAAGCAGATAGCCATTGTAAGCGACTCCTGAAATATTAAATATTTATTAAAATATTACAAAAATATATTTTGAAACTAATCAAAAACTATTGTAAAATAATTTACTAAGTCACAAACATAACCCTTACAGCTAGTATGACACTTTTTTTTAACCATAGTTCACTTACCTATGATCCTTAGTGGCTAATTCAAAAGTCCTTTCAGTTGTGTGTAACATTATACGTTGTAAATTGGAATCCACCCAACATCTTGGGTCTAAGGTTATAGAACCACACTGCTCTTTTTCTTCTTCATTCTTGTAGTATAATAGTTGACACGGTTTTAATACRAACCAATACTCTCGTAGCGTTGGCAATAAATAACCACGTTTCAACAATGATCCCTAATAAAAATGATAAATATTTTTCAAAAAATCAACAACGTTTTATAAAGCTTTATTGACTCTTAAACCAAGTAAAGACTTGTACAACTAAGATATAATAATAATATTACTTAAGAAATGTTGGCATAAATGTATTCTTTAAAAACTATGAATTCGTTTTATCAATGGAAAATTATCACTTTACTTTTTAGACATGTTAATATTGAGTTCTAACTTGTAATAATTTAAAATTTAAATTATAAAGTTCAATTTTAGTTGCCTTACTTTTTTTATAATATCATCAATGAAAGTATTTGTAACAGCATTTAATGCTTCCACCAAACCGGCACGATCAACGTCAGCTAAATATCGCTTCTCTAGTAAAGTTAAAAACGTACCAAACTGAAATCCATTAGCATTTCCAATAAGCTCTTCAAAACCAGATTGATCCCAGTCAGCGCCTAATGAAGTAACAATTTGTGAAGCCACCAAACCCACTTCGGATGTATCCATTATAACCTGTTTAGAAATATTATCTCATTAAAKAAATTAGAAAATTGACTAATTAGGAATATTTTTCAATAACAAATTACTTGGAATCGATTTGGTCTTTCTGGATCTACTACAAGCTCAGACAAAAAACAAAATACCCTGAATAATTTGTACATACAATCCTCTGGTAATACTTGGCATTTAGAAATAAAATCTTTTTTACAAATCAGCCAACATGTCTCATCTATATTTGACTCGAATCCCTGAAGTACTGGTAAAGATAGAATGTTTGGAAGTGATAGAAACACCTAAAATACAAAAATTTCTAGTAAACTGTGTCRACTAAAAATGAATGTATAATATATACTTCTCTCAATAAATAATATTTGTAATGTTGAAAATTTAAAGTTGTCGTGCTTCTGTAGTGTTCAAGGCCTTTTTCTACACCATAAAGGTCAAGGAGAATACCAATGTTTGCTGTTAAAACCTATTCATTTTAACAAAAAAATATGAGTTAGAATATTTATTAATTTAATAAGTTTTTAAAAAGTATAATTTTGCGATTAATTTTCCTTAAATTARTGAGAAAAATACATAACTTATCGATATATCTGTATGATTATTAAGGAACTTATTTGAATGCAAATAGAATTTTTTCTGAATGTCCAAAAACATYGATTTCCAAGCAAAAAGTTCATTTCATACATCTACATCAAGGAATTAAAAAACGTAACTTTTATTTTGCTTTTTTTGCATTTTTTGACATTTTTATGTTTTTACCTCATTTTTATATTTCATATAAGAATGGATAAAATTCGATAAAAATGTAGATTAACATTCAATTTAAAAATAAATATTTACTAAGTTTTTACCAATCAGATAAACCTTGACTCCAGACAAAATTATTGTTGTCACGTGTAAACGCACGTATTATATACATACATACAAATTACAACATATTACATGAAATTAAGTAAAGATAAGATAAGCTATTTATCTAAATTGTAATTTTGTTTTTTATTGTAAATTGTAATATGTTTTTTAAGTTAAAAATTGTGTTTTTATTGAATTTAAAAACATTTTTTAAGTTTTTAGGGCATTTTTTTAAGGTATTAAGTCGTATTTTTCTTATTTTTTATGGCATTAAAGTCCTTCCCTAATGAATATATAAGTAACAAGGATAATTTGTTCTAAATCCATTAGTCATAATTTCATCACAATACTGTATTTACAATTTATATGCAATATTTTTCAATTAAAATTTTTTTCCTCAATTGTATATCTCTAATATCTATTTATTATGGTTTTTAGTTCTGTACCCATACGCCATGTCGCGCCATACAGATGCACCRTACTATATATTATGATACTTTACAGATTACGGACACTCGGGACACTCAGTATTTAATATCAATAGTAGGTAGATACATCGAGCTACATTGCTACATGTTATAATATGTCTAATTAATAATATCGAATTATATACATAATGCTGATTTATCAAGTATTGTATACATAAATAGTTATATATATATATATTTCCATGATTTTAAAGTATGGCATACTTTGACAGTTTAGATTAAACAATAATACATTATCATTATTAATAATATCCATTAATATTTAATAGACATTTTTATCACTATTTACTTTGATTTGTTGAATAATACAACTGCAGATTAAATCATTATTTACTTGTATATTCTAAAAACTATACGTCTGTAATCCAAATTTTTATTTTTATCACAACYTACATTACTAATTAGTTAATTAATTTTTCTAACATCAATGGATAATTACAATAAATTCGGGTAGACTCAAGATAGATAACAAAAAAAAAAAAAATAATCATAGTTATTAGTATAACCATACTATATTAATGATAAGTACTTCTATACAAAATACAAACATTTAACTTAACTATGATGTAGGTCCACCTCCACATAGGTAGGTGTACCAAACAAATAATAAAATGTAGCAAATTTTGCCAATATTGTATAGGTACCTATTTCTTGAATTATATGTTTTTACGATTTTAGGATATAGGTTAGCTTTATAGGATATATAGTATATATTATATACTAAACTTGAAACCGACTAATACGAGCACAATTTATAATCTAAATAATTAATAATTATTTAATAATCAGCATTATTATGTCATACGAACTAACTCCTGCTTTCATTTTAAAATAAAAAAAGTACCACGCAATATTTAAGATAGGTACCTATATCWATAAGAACTTAGGTCATAAAAATAAATAGGTGCATCATACCTACTTTGGAGAGTTATCTAAATCTTACTCAGTGTAATTATGTTAGAATAAGTAAAACTACTGAATGACGTCATCGTCCGTAGAATGTATAATACCATGTATATAGGTCCTACACTCGTAGTTATTCAGAGAAATTATATTAATCACACAACAATAAAAATAAACTGTTTACAAAATTGCATTTTTTCAAAACATTTTTATTTTTAATACAATATTCATAATGTGGGTATTTGGTATAGGTATTTGCCTTATTTTCMTTTTCATATTAATTTTTTTACAAATGTACGTACCTCAAACATAATGGTACGTATTTGTCTAGTCATAAACTCATAACTACATTTTTACTTCTAACTGTGTATCAATTAATTTAAATTTATTAATATAATGGTAAACACTAGTGTTTTGTAAAAGATTTGTTCCCATAAACCTCGTAAAAATCCAGAATCCAGTGACTTTAAAATGAACTTATTAGTTATTATATTTACCTATCTTTACGACTTTACATAAATCTGTAATTTAAATTTAAGTTTATATTTGAAATTCTATATTTACATTACACGTAACATACTATAGCCGATTTAATTTCGTTATTAAATATTGGTTATAGGTACTTTCACAGTTACGTGTTATTAATGAAAAGAAAAAAAATAATAATAAATGGTACTCAAATCTTTCTTTGACCAAAGTTTAAGACTAATGAAGATCATGTACAGATAACAAAACGATTATGGACGAAATTACCATTGTATATTATAACGAGATAAGATGTATTAATATTATGGTTATTAAGCAAATGTATTATTTATTTAAAATAAAAATTATTATTCTACAAATGTGACGTCACCAGTGATAAGTTAAAACACATATATTGTATATTATATGTGTATATAATATTATTTATCATATATCTACAGACAGCAATGTCATCCGCGGCGATCAAAAAACCATTTTAAAAGTGACGTCACCTGGCGCGGACGACAATATGGGATCAAAACGATTAAAATGATTTTGATACCAAATACAGCTAATCAGAGGACGTGTAGACATATTTTACAATTATACATTTATATACTACATACATATATATATATATAAGTATAATATAATGAGTAAGTATAGACGTATCAAATTACTATATTATAATGTAATATAGGGATATCATGTGTATATACACACATTGTATACAATAATTATTATTTTAAACGTTATCCCGAGAAATCCGTAGTTATAATTGAGAAGTGTTCGGTTTGGTTTAATTTATTAGGTCTATGTTCAAGTAAGTAGGTAGGTTACTTACATAAAATACCAGGAATAACCGCCACTTATTACAATGTTATTAAATATAGTTTAATAATTTACAATATTAAACTTGTATAGTCGGCGTCAGCTTACGAAGGCTAATGAATGAATAATAATTATTTATATTTTACCGAGATTTTCTAAAACTAAAATCGTTGATGGGTATTGCTATTAATATACTGTCTCTACTGCACGGTCGTCATCCGAATTAGCGCACGTGGGGTAGGTTGTAGATTAATACAGAATACTATTATTGTTATTATTATGATTATTATGACATGGTATAGAACCCGGAATCATGGAGACACTCACTTTGAGCTTGGACTTGACCACGGTTCCTGTGTCGTCCGTGTCCAGCGAGTTGAACGCTTGCCATATGCAATTGGTGACGTTCTTCAGCAGCGTCGCCATCTCCGACGCACTGCAATATAATATTACGTTATATTAAACACAATAACGATGTCATAATCAAGATTTTCAAGAAGAATTCGAAACGTTTCGACTGGGAATAGTTACGTACCGACTCGTATCGTAGTCTAAGCCCGATATTGGTCGGTACGTTATTAAATCGATACTTATACCGATACACTCCAATTTCTTCCTTGAAAATCTCGATTGGTATAACGAATAATAGTGACATGTCTTCGTCGTACCTCGACCGACTACCAGAATCCGGTTGTATACGGCGTGCTGTTCAGTGCAATGTATTATAATATATGCTTAAAGCTCGACGGCTGGTTTGTGGTATTATTGCGATGTTGGTATTTTAAATTTAAAGAAAAAAAATTAGTTATCAGAACTTATCGTCCGTAGACCAGCAGTTCGACGTGAACGCCGTACAACAATATTGAAAAGTCGCGCGCAAAACTAGAGCGGACTGCGGAGTAAGACCCGGACGACACCACAACTGCGGCGGCGCACTGCTCGGCTCGGCGACGGAGGTCGGGAGGTCCATCGTGCGACGACGTTACCGCGCCGCCGCCACCGCTTCCTTGGTCCGGTTCCACCGCACGGCCATCCGTTTCCCGCGATCACGGTCTTGACCATATATGAATGAACATTCAATGCCGGTGCGGCCCGTTTGTACCTACGGCGGGACATTATATTATATTATAGAATAATATACTTATACAGCGGTAATGGGTAGATATTATAGGTACGTAAATAATAACATTATATAATGATAAATAATTTTGGCTCGATACAAATATAGTAATGTATCATATTATTGTATATTATAATAATATATAATACCTTTGTTGGCCGCCTACCTGTACACGGGCTTATAATATTATTCCAGTAGATTTTCGTGATTCCAAAAAAGTAAAAGTTTAAGAGGATTTTGACGGGTCATACCCGTAAGTGACGTCCACTGACTAAAAAACATGTATACAATATGTATATGATAACATACAACAGCGTAAATATGCGTACACAACGGTACCAATGTTGTATTTTTATTGCGTTTAGGATTAGAATTTAGAGTGAATTAAATTATTAGTTACCGTCAATATCTATTTTAAAACGATTTATGATCATGAGCATTTTTAAATTTAACTTTTTTACATACTCATAACTCGCTTAAAATTAAAAAAATAAATTTAAATAATGTTCTTATAAACCTTTAACGCTCTAAGTTAATAACAATAAATAATATACATCAAAGCCAACTCACACAATTGATTATATCGAATACAACTTTGCTATATGTTTATATAGTATAAACAAGTGTTAAAATATAGACTGGTACGACCTATACAACACTATATTTTTACAAAAGTATTGTAAGTTTTTATCGAGGTGAATTTTTATAACTTAAAATTTTCTGACGACAATCCCCTATATTTGATCTGATCACGAAAATCTGCAGAAGAATATAAAAATAATATGCTTTTCAAAAAATTAAAAAAATTGTTTATTAACAATAAATAATTATGATACCTTCCTAGAAAGTTCGAAGTTATCCCAACTAGACTACGGATCGGGCACACATAGTCATCTTATAAGTAAAAATTATCCCCAATGTGTCCAACATGCAGCACTGATCTAACAATGAAACACATGATGTCTGAATGTCGATCATACTCCGAACCAATACATTAATTATATATTGGCCACAAGTCTTCAAGAACACTTATCAGAATCATTCAACCACAACAGATCCTCACATCCAGCCACCTTCAATTTCATTACAAAGGCGGAACTTCAAAACAAAATATAAACATTTTATAAATTTGTTGTTGTAAATAATAACCCTTACCCTTATAACTCAATGGCCTATTTCGCCAAGGGTAAATTTTGTTCATGAAAAATAAATAAATAATTAAACAATAATGTGTTTTGGTAAAATAGAATATTGAAGACTCGTGATTAAAGCAGGACCTCGACTTTTGCCGCAAGTGAGGTATTAAACATTTATACAGCGTTCGTCTGTAATTTCTCTTTTATCTAAAACTTAAAATAATAACGTACCTACCTATTTGTATACTATGTAGTTAGGTATATGGTTATATGGATCTATCCGTATAACACGTGAGATACACATTTATTAGTTGTAGTTGAGTGTAGCATGTGGTGTGTGTAGTTTGTGCATGGGTGTCTCCAGACATTCTTCTAAGGGGGGATTAATTTAAAAACATTTTTTTATACTTTTTATGCTTATATTTTAAAAGTATTCTATGTTTATTAAATTGTCGCGTTACAGATAATGCTTTGGAAAACAAATTTAAAATTCTAGGGAGTGGCAAGTGTACCGTCTTCCCCCTGGAGACTCCCATGAGTATGTATATGTGTCTAAAACTGTCTACTGTCTACTATATAGGCATATAGCTGTCTATAAATTAAATTATTATTATTATTGGTATTAGGCATACCTACATAATAAATTCGCTAAAAAAAAAATGGTCTACTTAGAAATTAGTGTATAATATGTTTTTATTATATAACTTACTGTATTTTCATATAACAATAACATTATACATTTTATACGTTATACTCTACTAATTTGACGACACCGGTTGTATATACCTTCTATACTATACGGCCATGACGATGACATATGGTTTTTTGAAGCGTTGCTTACGGTATGCAGTGACGCAGTGTACCTACGTATATTAATAATGTTATGTGTAAAACTGTTTGCGTTTTCTTTTTTTTTTTACCACAAACTATTCGACCACGCGTGTATTAATTATTCGAGATAGACAAAATTTCGGCGATGTATTTTATACTATTAGTTATTATTTAGACGTGTATAATATATAGCATTCACGCGTCGCTGGGACTTGATGATCGGTCATGCGGGATTAGAACGTGAGCAGAGTCTGATTTAGAAATATTGAAGCCTAAGTCAAGCCTGGACAATGATACTAACAAAAAAATCAAACTATTATAACTTATATTTCTCATCAAAAAATAATGTAATAAAAAGTATAAAATACGGTGAACGGGTGTTTTGCACAGACCCCTTTTTAAATACGTCCCTGCCCCCTGGAAAGTAACAAACAAACGGACAAACGAAACAGTTATTTATATATCAATTTAGTTAAAAACTTAACAACAGTTTTATTTGTAAATTAGTAATGATTTCAAAGAATATTATACCAAGCAAGTTCGATAATTTTTTTAAATATAGAAATACGCAAGGGATATTTACTATTTAGAAATGTAATATTGTAGCGTATTACATAATGAGCATTACATTTTAAGCTAAAAATGTCTAATTATTACTAATGTAAGTACAATTGCTTTTAACTATACTAAATATAATACAATTTAATTTTGCTTATTTATCCCAGTGTTAAGCTATAAAAGTGCAAATCAATTTTATGCATTTGAGCTATCTAAAAAATAATAAATACAATTTGCGCTTTTGGGTGGATACCAAAACCTGTAAAGAAGTAAGAAATATGAATCCTTGATATCTGCTGGCGAAAACCCGTAAGCACATTTAATTTATACACAAATATAATAGATGTTATTTTAAAATTGAATTATAATGTATGGATAATGTCCACTTGGGCTTTTTAAAGAAATAGTAACAAAAATTATTATATCTCATCCGTTACAACTGTTACGAGAACGAAAAATAATGGACGGCTTACATAGGCACCCGCAGAAATTTTTCTGGGGGGCAATGTTAGGATTTGAGGATCAATATTATACTTTTACTAGGTGTTTTAAAATAATAGGTAACCTTTTTTATTATACTCATATACTATATATTATATTTTATTATACTACAACTTATTTTATACTTTAAATTTGTTGTAAAGTATATAGTAATTTATTTTAAAACATTCAATTAAAAAAAATATTTTGAAAAAGCCAGGGGGGGGGCAAATGCCCCAGCTTGCCCTCTCCTGCGGTCGCCTATGATTGCTTATATTGTGTATACGGTACGCATGATGATTGATTTTACATCATGTTTTAGATTCTGAGCAGAGCTTGATCATAAGATATAGATAAATATTGGTATAACTCTAAAATCTTAAACAAATACCGTAGAGAAACATGACACTTTCACAGAATGTGGTTTATATTGGTATTTTTTATGATTGATAAAACTTCCAATTTGTTTAGTTTTTTTTTCTATAAATGTCAATAAAATTTTATTTTTTGGATAAAAAAGCTTCTAATTTTAATTTAAGACTAATAATATATTGTTACAACAATGAAAATGTATGATTTATTATCACTGTATATAGTATGAATTCAGTCAAAATACATTTTATATTTAGTTGTATTATATGCAAAAGAATATCTGTTAATAAATGGACTATATGAAATATGAAGTATCTATTATATAACATGGTCTGGGCAAGTCACGGTGTCCGGAGAACAAGTGACGCCACCCCCCACTCCGGGGCATGGTAAAAACCTACGGGTACCCCAATAGAAATTCTGCCAAAACTCATTCACGTGTAACCCTTCTACCATTCCACAAACCAACAGTACCACCACCCTCCCAATGGCCTAAGTTGCCGCGGGATAATTAAAAAAAAAAAAAATAAATATAATTAACATGGTCTATTGCATGATCTATTCCTCCATTTAACATGAGATACTAATAATTTCAGAAAACAAATGTTTTTGAATATATAAATTGTTTGATTTCCATAATCCACAATTGTTACTAAAATCATTAATTCTTTTTTACTCCATGAATTAAAAAATGTATTTTTTACTCCATATTTTGAATTAAACATTAAATATTTTGGACTATTATTATTTTATTATTATTATTACTATTTTTAGTAGTTTATAAGTCTATTTACATATATTATAAGTATATATTTTGTAAGATATTTCTGATTTCCATTTCACCATTACGTGTTTTAAATACTCATAAATTACTCATGCGAATCAAGATAATTTATAGAAATATTATAAGAATCAAAATATTTAAAATTGTTATTTTTAACGACCTATAATTATTATGAATAAAATTAATTTTCAAATTAAAATTTTTATAATAACGAGTTTCTTGCATTAAATGCATCATTCAGTATAAATATGTTAAATAAAACTATTTTAAAAATAGTGTTTATCCTTTGAAAAAAATCTAAAGCATAACAATCATTATAAAGATAATACAGTTGCAAATCCCATTATGAAGGAAAAAGAAACTGGCATTTACATTATAATAATTAATGTAATTGGAACGTTAAATATCAACATAATAATATGACTTGATTATAATATATAAGTCCAAACATACAAAATTTGTTATCAATTATAATTTAATTTATAACTATTTACTAAACATAAATAGTTAATAAACATAATATTATGTATATCATATAATAAATAAATTAAATACATTTCATTATATATTCCAAAAGTACATTAAATAAAATATTTCTGAGATTGATAAAGAGTAAATTTAAAATCATGGATAAACACTTAATCAGAGTTATATAAATATAATGCATATAATCTATATAATCTCTGATTAAGGGTTTTGATAAAATTTGGCATGATTATAGTTTTACTTATTTTACTTAATTTAGTCAACTACAAAAATTGTGAAAGTATACATAAGATCAAACAAATAATTGGAGGACATAATATATAAAATCAGATTAATTAAATATTAGTTTGACCTCCTGTATACCAATCTTATAAACAAAAATAATAAATATTAAACAAAATTCCTTAGATTCGATTTATGCCTATTTTTCATTCTAAAAACATTTTCATAATTATATTCATTTGTTTACATAAAGCGCATAGTGTTGTACTTGGCATAGGTCTTTTGAACACAATTTCCATTTTACATAAAATTGTTATACTATTAAAATAAACTCCATTCAATAAAAACATTTACAGCTTTGGGTCGGTGAAACATGCGCCTTTTACCAGCTGGATAGGTTCATATGGGGCAGATTGAATTAACTCTAAGACTTTGTATTTTTTCAAAACCAAAACTGAGTAAAACTTCTGGGCTGCCTAAAATATCAAACAAAACAATATTATAATAAAACAATAAAATTAATTTAAAAAATAAAAATATGATCTTTTTATAATAGTCATACTAATAATTTTAATAAAATGTTTATAAGGATTACATTAAAACTATATTTAAATGTAAAACTGTATTATAAATTACTTAAAATAAACAACTACCATAAATCTTGAAACTTGGTTAGGAATACTAAATTAAGCAATATACTACCAAACCCATGAAATTTTATTGATATAAAATATTTTCTCATATAAAATTAATAAATTTTATTCATTTCTGTCAAAGACATCAACAGATTTTTGTTCACATTACTTCTCAATCGCAAGCATTAGATATTGTCCGCCCCCTCCTACACACAGAATCCTCCACCTGAGGTTACTTTTATACGTCACAGAGTATACTATTGATTATTTGACACATAATAAAACTTAAATACCTCTTTTCTTTTGTTTCTGTAAGTAAGGTCGTCGAATATAAGAGTGTCTTTTTGTGAGAATCTTATCTTAATTGTATGGTACAATTGATTAGCCCTTTTATTCATTACTCGTTCTTCATATTGTTCATTTGTTTCATGTGGAGCCTGTTGCTCTTCCACCTTAAATATAATATAATGAGTATGAAACAAACTACTTAAAAACATTTTATTATATAACATACAGGTCCAACAGATGCAGGATAATCATAATCTTGGTCACGCCAAGGTGTTGCACCACCCCTTGGTGAAGGTAATCCTGGTGTAACAGGTGCATTATGATGACCATCGTATCCCATATTATCCATTATGACTTGATTGAAATCATTAGACTAAAAATAATAATTAATACTGATTAAATTTTATTATAATCTTAAATTTTAATTTGTCTGACAAGTGAAAATTATAAAGATTACTAATAAGTAATAAGAAATAGGTACTCCTATAAATATTTTTAAATAACCCAATCACATATAGCTTAAGATACTTACTTGATTTATGTGATTATCATAACCCATGTTTTGTAATTCTGGTTGTAATGATTGATCATTTGCTTCTGATGTATCATGGACTGATGGCGGAGCTTGTAAATCATCAAATGGATTTATGTGCTAAAATAATTTTATTTAAAAGATTCACAATATTATCACTATTTATTTAATAATTTATATAATGTCATATTCAAATGCAATGTTAATTCAAACATTAAGTTTTGATAAAATTATCATAGGAATTTTGTAAGAATAATTATGGAAACATTGTTAACTAGACGTTAATTAAAAAATATTAGTATAATATTTAATCAAGCATAAATAAATGAAATACTTGATATTTAGTTTTACTTACATTAAACGTTATACTTTATTTATTATAATTTAAGTTTTAAAACGTTATATTTTACATGTCTGAAATTGTATATTAATTAATAATAAAATTGACTATTATAGAAAGAATTTTTAAGAAATATACCACATACCAATAGCAAATATTAAATATTAAATTATAACTACCTGATCTTCATTATTAACTGGATCAACTGACTTATGAACGGGTGTCCCAGGAGGTAACATTTGACCACCGTCATTTAATGGTGATGTTATAAATGGTGGAGGTTCATCAGCCGGCTGTTGTTGATTCATTTCAACATTTTCCGGTTCTTCAGGGATAGCTGGTGTAGGAGCAACAGATAGTGGTGCAGGAATTTCCACTTCCATTGATTCCTTAGAAAAAAAACCGTAATGTAATAAGTTTATCAGAACAATTATACAATATATTAATACAGGTGAACCAAAATGTATTTATCAATTTATATGAAATATATTATCTATTTTTTATTTTTATTTTCTTAATCAACAATCTATGCACTTGAATTAATAAGTGACATGAAGCTCGTGATAAAAAGATGAACCGGGCGGCCACACTTTAAACTGATTCAATTTTTTTATAACTTTTTTAAAAATATTATCTATTAAAAGTTAAATAATTCATGAATTGAAAATTTTATTTTATTTTTTTATAGTAACAAATATTTTACAAATATAATTAGATAACTAATTAATTATAAATAGCAAATACTCACAAMTTGGGGTGCTACTTCTGGTATTGGTGGCAAAACATCTTTTTTAGCTGGTTTTTGATTTTCTTCATCAATAGGTATTTTTCTTTTACGACCACGACGTCCAGGTACTGGACCAGCTATTGCAGGTAATACATTTTCTTCATCTCCTTCAACACCACCTTCACCCTCTAATTCTTCATTAGTCAGTGTTTTTGCTGTTAAATGTCTTTGGTAATTCTAAAATTTAAAGAAAAATCCATTTTTGAATTTATGTATAGCAAATATGAATGTTAAGAGTAACAAGTAATAAGATAAATTTGAACTTACTCTAGCTAATGGTATAGCTGGTATATTTTTTCCAGGAAGAGCAAATAGTTTTTCAACACCACCTGTTTCTTTCCAGTGCATTAGTCTTTTAGTAGGTGGTGCTAAATCTAATGTAATTACAATATCTGTCGTATCACTCAACTGAGCTTTCATTTCTTCACCGGAAATATTTTTCACTTCGTCTACAATTAGTTTTCGCTTTCTTTTAGTCTTTGGTAAACCTCTCAATGCACTAGCATCAATTGGAGCTAAAGCAAAACTTTCTTCTTCATTTTGTACCAAGGTAGTTTGATCTACAGATGTATTCTGTTCATTTAATTGCTCAGGTTCTTCTGATGCTTGAATATCATGTATATCATGCATATCGTGCATATCATGCATATCTATATCTGGTGGAGGCATCAATGTTTGATCTCGCGTTGGTGAAGGTATAAGACCTAATGCACCAGCATTAGGAAATGGTAAATTAACAGGGGATGCTGGTCTTGAACCATCTGAACTTTGTCTACCTGGACTAGGAGGCATAAAGTGATCATCATCGTCATCATCATTTCGATTAGGTGTATTGAATGGGGGAGGACTAGGAGGACCTTGACCATCGGCAACTTCCATAGGAGCAGAAGGTACATCATCAAATAAGCCTCCAGCTTGAAAAAAGTTATCAGTGATGACTTGACCAATATTACCTCCAAATCCATCATCTCTAATCGGAGCATCCATTCCTAAACTGTTTTGGCTTAAAATTCCAGATCCAGAAGATGTTGAAGGTATAGGTTCTTTATCGCGGTTCATCAAATGGTCGACACCTTCACTGAATAGCAGGGAATGTTCAATTCCATGACGGAGTATATCGGAATTTTCAACTTCAGAGAATCCAAATCCTTGATCGAAACCAGAGTTCTTAGAAACCATAGAGCTAATGTTGTAATCTTCGTGCAAAGTTATCTCTTCGGCTCTAGACTGGTTAAGACTGAATTGAGCTTCAATATCGACATCGCTAGAATAAAAATAAAAATTTAACATATGTTGAAGAATGGTTTTTGAAGCAAAAAAAGTAATTACTTTAAGTCTGGCATAGCTGTATCAAAGTCATGAAATACTTCTGGGAGAGTTATAGCATTAGTCGCTGCTATATGATTGTCTTCGGGCAAGTCGACCATGCCTGGCCGAAAAGCCATTTTAATCTTGACAAATGCTTCATTACAATCAGCCAACAGGTATTTGGCTTTACGTGAATAAATTCTGACCACACCCAACAAAAGATGTCCAGATGTCCGTAAAGCCATTTTTACCTATGAACGTACATTGATAGTACAATTAGTAACACACTTAAAAACCATCGGTATACCAATCAGATCAAGTGATATTCACACTCACCTTTGGCTGCAATATTCCATCTACAGATGTCTCGATGTTGGTCTCAAACACTTGGGCCTTGGTCAATTTCTTGTCCCAATGTGCCGCCAACCAGATACGGGCGAGCGGCCCTTTCTTGGACAGCGAAAAGTGCGAATAAAACATGACGATGCCCGGATAATATCACTAGTCTATAAATCTATAACAAACGGGTAGCGTTCATTTAACATCGCGCGTCTGAGAAATAGAACGTCGCTAATTGTCCAAACTCCAAAATCAAATTGTATATTTACCTGTCAGTAGGTAGTAGATTTCACGAGTCCGTGATAACGGGACGACTTTTTTGGTCAAACGCTTAAAAACGATCGGTCTTCGCGACGACAAAATTCATCGTTACGCACCTCATCGAAGACGATATTCTGTACGCGACGTGATCGATCGAAATCAAAATAATATATTAAAGAACAAAATGTGTAAAATTCACCGAAAAATTACAAAAACAAAATAAACGGTTTACGTCAACTAATGATGAACGGGTTTTATAAGGGTAAACAAACGACGAAATTAATAATATGGCGGACTGGGCGGGAGAACGGTAAACGTTGGGCGGGAAACGAGTTCGGTACTAAACACAAAGGATTATTCGAGAAACAGCGTCCCAAAGCAAAATGCCACGGGTGGGTTTTCTTATCAATTATCATCGTCGTCATTCGATATTCGAGTTTTGTGATAATGTAATAATATTAATTGTTTTTGTTATTATTGTGCAACGAATCAACAAATTTTCGTTATTTTGGATTTTAATTGTATAATATTAATTTTAATAGTATACTATATTAAAATAAAATAATAAATAATAACTATTTATTTTACTCATAGTTATTTTAGCAGTTATTTAATCACCTTCCCGATAATAATAATCAATCAATAACTAGAAAATAACAGAGAACATTCGTATTATTCAATCCAACGAAGTTGGACTGAAAACTAAATTTTACCTACGTGCGAATCGTTTGACCTTTTACTTCTGTGATTTGTTTTATGAAAAAATGTCACATCAGACAGGAATTAAAGGTATAATGTATAACTAAATATCAATACATTTATTCCAAATATATTTATATGTGATGGTACAACTGATCTTTATGCTTCAATTTTGATCCTATTAAATTTTAAATAGGTAATGCTGATCGTATTATTTTTAAATAATTGAACAATTTGAACAAAATAAATTTTTTAATTTTATATTTAATCCACTAATAAAGCAACTTTCTTCCACCTCACTTCCCGGCAATGTTCGCAGAAGACTAAAAARGCAGTGTCCTAGAGACCTGCTAAAATAAAAAATAAAAAACAACAAAAAAACAAAAATAAAAAAACCCACGACATCTAAAATGTTCTCGGTCGGGTGGTGCTGCTGAGTGCCTGCCCCTAAATGTTAAATTCTTCTATTTTCATATTATATTAGTTATCAACTTTGCCCATTGTACATAGTTGTATAGATTGTAAATTACTTAAATAAAAAAAAAAAAAAAACAATTATATTTATAAATCAAACTAAAATATTGATATTTTTAATTATGGATATTGTTATGGTTGAAGTTTTTAATTTTAAGAAAAAAAATGTTCTTTCTTGTTTTAGCAAATGACGTTCTAAGAAAGTTTTTCAGCAAAGCAGCATCAGACAAGAGTGTTCGGGCCATTAAAGTGTCAATTGTAGATGGTTAGTAGATCATTATCAATTTTTATGAATAAAATATCTTAATTTTATTTATATTTAAATATTTAATGCATTAAAATACATGATCGGGTTGTGAATTATATTAAGAAGCGTGCATAAATGTTATTTAAACATTGTCTATTATTTCTCCTAAATGTTCCTTTTAATAATTTATCCTTTACCTTTATATCTGATTATAATAGGTAATATTAAAAATTAATGTTGAATCCTTTTTTGTTGCAAATAAAACTTAATAATGTATATTCTTACTAAAAAAATATTTACTGAAGCATTATTTGTGTTTGTTAAAATTAAATATAGATATACGTATTACTTTTTTTTAAATATTACTCTTAAAAAATCTTATATTGGCCCGTATCCAATTTCTATTTTTTGTGTATATTACTCATATTCTATATAAATATATCTAAAAGATCAGTAGCACACATTAGTTGTGTTATGATAATTATTTAATTCATATTTAAAACATTTATACTACATCAGTAATGTAATAGTAGGTAAAATAATAACAAACAAAATTAAATTTCAAGTATTTCACAAATTCTTTTAACACCCACTACATTCAATTTATTTAAACTTTTACATAAAAGTTCATTGTTACAACTTAATAAGTATCTCGCCACAACTATTAGAGTTAAATAAATGATGGTAAATGATGGATTATATAACTTAACTATGCATTCTCATCAAAAATTAAAATGTATATTGTAGGTAACAATCATAGACACAAATAGAATTTAAAATTTGGAAGGCAGAACAGGCTGTTAACCTAGAACCCTGCTATAATAATATTGAATAATCTTAAATCATCTTCTTTATTATTATAATTTTAATAATTAAAGAAATTATATACCTAGTAAAATGCTTATGATTGAGGTAAAATAATTATAATATTTCTAAAATATCTCAAATATGTTTAATAACCCTGTATGACTTAAMATGTACTAGTTTTCAATTAGGATTGAGGAATATATCAAATTTTAATAAGTTTTTTTTAACACACTCATAATTTTTTACTAGGTTAAAAAAATTATATGATGCTTATTTTTGGATATAATATGTGATAAAATAGCAAAAATAATAGGTGAGAGTATTAAAAGAAAATATGCTATTATCATTGATTATAGAATAGATCTATTCTATAATCAATGCTATTATTGATGATATATATTCCATTAAAATACAAATTATTATTTATTTATCTTGGATTTGAAATTTTATATTGAAATTTGTGTCAACTAACATAATTTATTTTATTTCATTTTAGAAGAACTCTCTCTATCTGGTCATGAAAAACATCACAAATCATGGAAAGATGATTTTGAAAAAGTTGTCAAACAGTTTATTCTACATGATGTACCATGTTATGTATTATATAGGTACCTATTATAAATATTTAAATTATTTATTAATTTTTTTTATTCTGATATAATATAAAATATGCATACATTTTTTCCATTAGATTTGATGTAAAAAGTGACACAAAAAATTATGATTGGTTACTTATAAGTTGGTGTCCCGATGTAGCTCCTATTCGACAAAAGATGTTGTATGCATCTACAAAAGCGACACTCAAACAAGAATTTGGTAGTGCTAAAATTAAAGAAGAGCTTCATGGAACTGTCATGGTAAAATTAATTGTATACATAACTGATATTAATATCCCTGATTATTTAATTAGACTATTTGATCATTTGTTATGATGGTATATTAGTAATTTTCTATTGATTTTTTGAACTGAACTAAACACCATGTTTGTTTTGAAAATTAATGGTTATTAGACAATACATATATGTATATTATGTATTAGACAATTCAAGCTAAAGTTTTTGTTTATCTTGTAGACTGATGTTACACTTGATGGTTTGGAACAAAGTCGATTGTCTCAAAAAGCACCAGTACCCTTAACTATCCGTGAAGAAGAAATTGCTGAACTTCGAAAATCTGAGGTTGGACATAGTACTTCAGTGTCTATTGATAGTCGATCACAAGCAGTATCTGGTATCAAGTTTCCTATGTCAGTGGCAGCTGTAACAGCACTTTCTATATTTGTGGATAGTAGTGAAATAAACTATGTACAGTTTTACATTGGTATAATCAAATATTTAACCATTAAAATTTTTTGTGTGAAATTATTTTTTATTTTTATTTTTATTAGATATGGCTAAAGAGAGTATTGAATTAGCTACTTCTGGCAATGTTTCTGTGAGCCTTCTCAATGACCAAGTTCCTAAAAATGATGCTAGGTATCATCTTTATAAGTACCAACATAAAAGAAATAGTACCCAAACAAACTCTGTTTGTAAGTAAATATTATATTTGAAACATATTATATTTTATTATGATATATAATAGGTATAGCAAAGCTTTTTTTGGGTGAAGTACAAAATTTTTACAAACAAGGTTTTAAAAATTGTTCATTTTCCCAAAGTGGTAAATAATAAATATAGTAATAATATATTAACATAATAACATTTATATTGGAATATTATAATTTTTAAAACACATATAATTTGTTTTTTTGAATTTCTTATAACCAACATTTTTAACATGTCATTAAAATTTAACTAACATGCCATCTTCGGCACTCGTTTGCCACCCCTGATTATAAACTGATCTAATTAATTCTTAGTTGCAGTCGATTATTAATTTGACAAAATTTATACATATTACTTATATTTTCTACTTAGCTTTTATCATAATTATCACTCTAAATTGTAGATTTTCTACTAAAACTTACATGGGTTAAAAATAAAAGAAAATTGATTTAAATATTTATCAACAGTTTTATGTAGTTTGTGTAAGTTTTGAAATATATTTTTTATTTCTTAAGAAAGTCAATGGGCCTCACTGAAGAAATTAGTGTGTGTTCAGGAATACTCATAAAGTACAATATTCAATTATATAATAAATCTCATTTATTCTCAAGAAATTCAACAAATAAATGTATTATGTACCTGCTTTAATGTACTAAAATCTCAATTTATCAAAGCAATAGGAAAACAAAAGTTTTAAATTTTTAATCTTAAAACATTTTAGAACAAAAATAATTCAAAAAAATATTTATTTAAAAGAATTTCATAAAAGTATGCAAATTTAAAATATAGAAATCAAAATGTTGATATATCATGTTTAAATATTTAATACATCAGTGAGCAAAGTTATAAAAGTCAATATAAACTAATTAGTTATATATAAATTAGTATTATTAAAATAATTATAAAAACTAAATAATTTAGATAGCATCGACTATACATATTGTGTAAATAATTAAAACATTAGTTAAATAAAATATATTAAAAACTCTTATAATAATTATGCTGTCATTACATTTTTTAAATCATTTTTAGTTTTCATTTACTCAATGCCAGGATACTCATGTCCCATAAAAGTGAGAATGTTATACTCCAGTTGCAAATCGCCTTTCATCGAAGAATTAGAAAACTTATATAAATTAAAAATTGATAAAAAAGTAAGTGTCTATTTATTTTAATATGAAATATAATAAATAAATTGTGAAACATTAATATTTGTTAATAGTTGGAAATAGATAATGATGATGTTATCAATGAGAAATATTTATTAGACGAACTATACCCAGAAAAAGAATCTGATAAACCAAAATTCAGTAAACCCAAAGCTCCAGGACGAGGTGTTCGAAGAATTATAAAGTCTAATGAATAAGTATTAATTTTATTAATTTATTTATCTATTTATCTATCTAATTAATGTTATACAACTAATTATTTTTTTTCTTTATCAGAAATATCTATGTTTGGTCTTCCATTTTATTTTATTAAATTTAAATACTTATTTATATTTAAAAAGTGTGTTATTGAGTATTAATTCTAAAGTTGTATTGATTGTTTTATTTTTCATTAATAAATTTCTTATTTTTTATGATCCTCTCCATTTTGAATGATTTTTCTACAATATTCTTCATCTGCTAAAAGTTGATTATTAGAATGGGTTATTGATGCTAATCTTGTTCTTTCCTGGTTAAATAATTAATTAAACACATAAAAAATATTTGAAAGAAAAATTAACTTTTGAGTAGTCTTAAGAAATACTTTCTATGGTAATCAGTGGCGTATATAGGGTGTATATATGGTTGGTATGGGCGTTGATTGAATAACTAATTAGAATTTAAGAGGGAGTGTTGAAATATTAAAAAAAAATTGTAGGCTTCCTCCCTCAAAATTCATTTCTATATACGCCACTGATGGTAGTTACGCACTTCTAGTAAATAATTGCACTCATAATACTGAAGTTGTTTATTAAATCCTTCGTTGGGACTTGCAATTGATCGACATGTTTTCAGAAGTCTAAGAACATGTTTTAACTTGATAGTAGTGGCTGACATGATATAAGCAGCAGCTATTGTTACACTTCTAGACATTCCGGCCAAACTGAAGCATATTAAAATATTATAATGCATCACATTGTGATTAAACATTTTTTACTAAAAATATTATAAATGCATTATCTACCAATGAACTAAAACATTTTGATTTTTAAGACGAGCTTTATGTATAAAATCATTGCATATTTGAAAATATTGTATGAGATTTTGTTCAGGACTATCAATAGCTTCAATACACAAATATTTTTTATCCTAAAATAAATTAATATTAAAATGTTTTGTATGAAAAAATTATTGAACATTTTCATAATCAAAAAATACCAACTTGATGAATTTTTTTTGGCGCATCCAATACGGAAATTATATGAGTTATTTGATTACTTTCTAATTGAGCAAAATCTTTTGAGTCTCTAAAACTGCCAATAAACAAACCTGGAATCACCTAAAATTATAAAAATAAAGATAATTAATATAATTTTACCTATGTATATTGTATACTGTATACCTATCTACACTTTAAAGCTTAAGATAATTAAAATTCTAAGTAATATTTTAAATTGGAACTAAAATAGGGTGATAAAAAATCAATTTTATAAAAAAAAAGCGGGTTAGTCGTGGATGTCGCTCTGCTGTACAGTAGGTGACTGTAATGGATGGGATTACATTTGAATGCAATGATAGGTATCATTGTATACGAAAAAAGATTCTGAACGGAGATAATTTGTCAGTCTAGGATATATTATATTTAAATATTGTCATATATTCTATTTTGAAACAAATATTTTATTTTTCAATTAAGACGCATTTTG